GTTGAAGTCCACCGGTCGAAGTTGCCAATTTTGGAGACCACCTGTTATAAGTAATGGCTGGGGAATTCTGGGAGTTGAAGTCCACCAACTCTTAAAAGTTGCCCAGTTTGGAGACTCCTGCTCTAGTCAAAGCTCTCTGGATTTCCTCTTACACATCCGTGTGTATGTGTGCACACGCGTGTGCCCCACTGACAGGCTTTTGCGGTTCCAAGGCAGAAGTTCTGGATGTCTGCGCGGCCCGCCGTGTCTCGCTCCTCTTTCTTCAGTGCTGTACAACACATGTCCAAAATGATTTGGCCATGCGGACAACGGAGCTTGGACCAGGTCCTCTGTTGTGGTGTGCCAGGATTGGACAAAGCCTCCATTGTGTTTTCCCAGGGAGCTTGCACAACGGTGCCTTTCAGCGGCTGCCAATCTGTTTGCTCTGAAGATGCACCCCTGGTGTAAAAAAATAAAATCAAATCCAAAAACCAAAGGCATATAAGCTATCACAGAATCTGGATAGCTTTGGAATTTCCCTTGTATTAAAAAGCAGCGTGGAGAGAAATCTTATTTTAAAACCCCACTATTTAAAAATCCAAATCGGGCTTTTTAAAATGTTAATGGGTATGTGTGTTCAGTTCCGTTGAATTTAAATTTTAATGTGCTTCCTTAAACGCGCATATTAACGTCGAACACGACTGCTAATGGTATTCTGTTCGGTAGTTTAATTTGAGACAAGAAGCTAGGGAAGCGAATTCTCTCTGAAGAGGCATAGTTTCGTTCAGTTTTGATCAACAGTAGGGTTCTTTATTAAAAAAGATATATTTGTTACTGTGCATCCCTGTTAATACTGACGGGTGTGTTTGTGTATGTGTGTATGTGTATGTATAGAGAGAGAAAATCTACTTCTTTTTAATCTAGTCTAAGCTTTAATATTTCACGATAGTAGCTTTTGTATTTGTTGGTGCTGTGTTGTTTGGATTGTTATGGCGACTTGGTTTTACAAAGTGTTGTGTTACCTAAGGCTGTCTAGGAACAAAACAAATATTTATTGTCACTGGCAAGTGAGCAAGACATATGTTCTTCTTCCTTGTTCACTTCTTCTGTTTCAAATGTCAAAAAAAAAGCGTGTGCATTTTGGCAGTTACACATTCGTCATTCGTTCATAATTCAGCTTCAGATTCCGCCTTCTGCTCTTCTCTTAACTATGCATGGCTGGCCAGGGAATTCTGGGAGTCGAAGTCCACAGGTATTAAAAGTGGCTGAGGTTGGACATCTAAAGGTGGTTGGTGGTTAGAACTTGGATAAGAGACTAGTGGTTGCAAACTAGACTAGGGTGTAGGCAGGGGTGGGCTTCAACATTTTTAGCAAGGGGTTCTCTGCCTGGTTGCTGGGTGGGCGTGGTCATGGTGGGCCTGGCCTAGTCAGCTTCCTGCACCATGGTGGAGGGGTGTTTTTGCCTTCCCCGGGCTCTGGAGACTTTCCTCGAGCCTCCAGGAGGGCGAAAACGGCCTCCCCAGGCTCCGGAGGCCCTCTGGAGGCTGGAAACGGCCATGTCAGGGTTCCAAGCAGGGGTAGGCTTCAGAAATTTTAGAAAGGGGTTCTCTGCCTGGTTGCTGGGTAGGTGTGGCCAGGGTGGGCGTGGCCTAGTTGGCGGGATGTGTGCATTTTTGCCCTCCCTGGGCTCCGGAGGCTTTCCTCAAGCCTCCAGGAGGGCGAAAATGGCCTCCCCAGGCTCCGGAGGCCCTTCCCGAACATCCAGTAGGCCCATTTTTCGCCTTCCCCGAGCCTCTGCATATGCCCTACATTTACCTGCATCCAAAATGGGAACTCCTGGGAGGGTGGGGCGGGATGGGCGGGGCCAGCCAGGAGTGGGGATTGGGGGGTTCTCTGAACTGCACAGAATCTTAGTTAGAGGTTCTCCCGAACCCCCAGCAGCCCACTCCTGGATGTAGAGGGAAAACTCCTGAAAATCTTTGATACTCTCCTTTGGTATTAGTGCCAGAGGAACACCATGGTTTCAACCATCGAAAAAATGAGCTCAGTTGGTAGGTCTCCAGACTGAAGTAGGTGGGTCCTTCATTGGCTTCCCCAGGACTTTTCCTTCCTTCCTGTTTATCCGGCCTTCTTTTTCGTTGGGTTCTGATGCTGAGCAGATGTTCCTAGCACCAACCCAGTAGAAGGAGACAGTTTCTAGCCAGCATCTGGCCGCGGAGGTGGATCAGAACGTTCTCCTTTCTTCCGACTTGGGAGGCAAAGCCCGAAGGAATTGTTGGCCTTCACCCCAACTTGGTCCTTGCCAAACAAACTCCAGCCAGTGGTTGTGTCAGTGTCTTCACTTTGGGGAGTTGAAATAGTTTCCTTTCTGGAAAACCTCAGCGCAGAAAGCTCCACTCTCTTTCCACTCCAAAGTAATTCCAGGAAGCCGCTCTCTTTCTTTCCAAGCTATTTAAATATTTACGCCCGCCACAAATACCATGGCTACACCTTACTACTGCGTAAGAAGAGACCAGTTCGGCTTCAGCGGCTTAAGCTAAGAAGCCCTTTGTCCTTAAACTGACCCGACCTGGCTCAATGTTTGGGTGTTTGTATGTTTAAGCCAATTACATTTTTCCCCCCCCAGTTGTAAACTGAAATACACATACAGGTAGTCTTTGACTTAACGACTGTTCATTTATTTATTTATTTATTTTATTTCATTTCAAATTTATATACCGCACCTTCTCCCGAGGGACTCAGGGCGGTGTACAGCCAGATAAAAACATACAATACAAACATTAAGAACAATTAAAAGAATATATACTAATTTGGCCCCAGTTTAAAATGACAAACCAATTAAAAATTTAAAATTTAAAAATATGCTAAGCCAGCCCGGCTTGATGAAAAAAGAAAGTTTTAAGGGCACGGCGGAAGGCACCGAGGTCTTGGATTCTCCTTATCTCTGGGGGCAACTGATTCCAGAGAGTAGGTGCCCCCACAGAGAAGGCCCTCCCCCTGGGGGTCACCAGCCTGCATTGTTTGGCTGATGGCACCCCGAGGAGGCCCTCTCTGTGGGAGCGCACGGGTCGATGGGAGGCCGTCGGTAGCAGCAGGCGGTCTCGAAGATAACTAGGTCCTATGCCATGGAGCACTTTAAAGGTGGTAACCAACACCTTGAAGCGCACCCGGAAGACCGTTCAAAGTTACAATGGCACTGAAAAAAGCAACTTATGACCGTTTTTCTCACTTGCAGCATCCCGTGGTCACCTAATCGAAATTGGGATGCTTGGCAGCTGGCTCACATTTACGACAGTGGCAATATCCCCCAGGGTCAGATGATCCCCCTTTTGCAATCACCTGACAAGCGAAGTCAACGGGGAAGCCAGATTCACTTAACAACCCTGTTACTAATTTTAACCACCGCAGCAACTCACTTAACAAATGTGGCAAGAAAGGTGGTAAAATGGGGACACTTAACAACTGTCTCACTTAGCAACAGAAAGTTTGGGTCGTAAGTCGAGGATTATCTGTACAAGACGGTCGGACTGGTTAGGTTCACGCCTGCTTGAATTGTTTCCGTCCGTGTTGTCAGAATGTAATGGAATGTGTAGAGGACCTTGGGAGAGGAGGGGAAGAAATGCTTGCTAGGAAACCAGAGAAGAGAAGAGAAGCAGGAGCCCCCAGTGGCTTAATGGTTGGAGGAAGAAATTTAGGAAGGAACCCCTTCCCCCTTACTTGATCAGCCAGTTAAAAGCAGTGGTGGATGTATACTTAATACTACATATTTTGACAGCAGCGAGAATTGTATTTGCACAATATTGGAAAAATGAGGAAACTCCTACAGATGAAAATATAATTTAAAAAAATACTACCCTGTTTCCCCGAAAATAAGACATCCCCTGATAATAAGCCCAATCGGGCTTTTGAGCGCATGGGCTAAAATAAGCCTCCCCCCTGAAAATATTTAAATGCAGAGCTGGAAATCAGGTAAGAAGGCAAGAGGAGCCCCATCTAGCTCCACACGCCCCAAAATAATAAGACCTCCCCGAAAATAAGGCCAAGCGCTTATTTTGGGGTTCAAAAAAAATATAAGACAGGGTCTTATTTTCGGGGAAACATGGTAGACTGTGGAAATGGATAGATTGACATTACAGATAAAGGACAAGGAAGAGACAGAATATTTCTTAACATGGGGATTCTTTCTATCAACGGTTAGATTATAGAGGTAGAAATTAGAAGATATAAGATTATTACCATGTATAAGAAAAATGATGAAAGTATTACTAATATATAAGTTAACAAACTTACTACTATTATTATTATGTATAAATAAATTGACTCAGATAATATGCTGTTCATTAAGCACTTATGTATATTAAAGAAAAACCTAAAAATAAATAAATACATTAAAAAAAACAGCAGTGGGAAGTGTCTACCTTCAGATTTGCACGATTCTGTTAGTGTAGCCTTGTAGTAAAGTAGAATTAGCTCACCTGATTGTGTTACCTGAAGGGCTGACATAAAAGGACTGGGTGCAAGAGGTTGGTGGGGGGGAGAAGAGGGGGAAGTGGAATTCAGCCATCTTCCCCAAGACCTCTGAGCAGAGGTGGGATTCGCTTACCTTCCCTACCGGTTCGCAAATGTGAGTGCGCGCGCTTGCGTGTCGCTTGTACATGCCACCTTCCACGCATGCTCGGCCTTCTGTGCCTGCTCTTTGCTCACACGCGTGCCTTCCATGCATGCACACGGCCTCCAAAACGTGGCAAAATAGGACGGCATTACGTCCGGGTGGGTGGGCGGAGCTTACTGTAGTCACCGCTACCGGTTCGCCAGAACCAGCTAAATCCCACCACTGCCTCTGAGTTCACCCATAGAAGCTTGGTGAAAACCAGGTCCGTTCTTGTCGTCTTCTTCCAGAAGATGGAGGAAGCCAAACCGAGACAGGCGGGTGTTTAGGAAGTCCCCTGCCTCCAGAACGTACGTTAATTAACATCCACAATTGTCTACCTCTGTGTGTGTGTGTGTGTTTGTCATTTTAGGTGCTCTCACAGTTGGCCTTGTGCGACAGTGTCAAACCATCCATGGACGTGACAGGACCTGCATTCCTCCACGGCTGCCTCCGGAGTGGATCACGACTTTATTTTTTATCATCATGGGAATCATTTCACTGACTGTCACCTGTGGCTTGCTGGTGGCTTCTCACTGGCGACGGGAAGCGACGAAATATGCACGCTGGATAGCCTTCACTGGAAGTAAGTCTCTTCTCCATTCAACAAACCAAAGAGGGCCGGGAGCGTTTGTGGAAAATCAGCACCTCCTTCCCAAGATCTCCCTGTTGTGACCTAGGCTTACTGAGTCATTACAATACACAATTAGTCCCCAAAAAACCTATTTTATTGTAACAGCTGAGAATTACGTTCATTCCCAGCTGAGTCCCAGTTAGTTGCAAAACAAGTCCTTCGGAACAAGTCCTTCGGGATAATCACCAACCTTTATCTCCTTTGACACCCTGCCAAAGGCCTTACTTGGCAAAGCCCCACGTAATTCAGAAACAAATGAGATGCCGACTGGAAACAGAGTTAGCAACATAGAAACAAATCAAATAAAACATAAACAAAACAAACATTGCTTTCCTGCAAAAGGCCCAAGTGCCTTTGTTTCTCTTTTAAGCCTTATGGGATGGGCCAATCATCTCCTGGCCTTACTCCCCGAATTGTCCCTTTCGCTTTTGCTGCTCTTCCCTTCTGGCAGCTCTGCGCATGCGTGCACTAGGAACAGGCTTCTCCTGTTCCTCTGCCTCTCTGCTGTCCGACTCTGGGGGCTCCGGAGTCCGTGCATCACTCCCAGATGGCCCTGGCCCCATCTCTGCCTCTGACACAAAGCCCTCATCCGGGCCTTCCCCAGACTCCAGGACTGGCCCATGTTCCTCCCCAACCTCCTCACTATCCGAATCTGTTGCCAGCTCCGCAGACTGCTGACGGATCTCAACACTCCCTAGCTTTCCAAAAGCCCACAGAGACCTTCAGAAACCCGCAGCTCCTTCTCTTTCTCCCAAAAGCCTGCAGAGAGACCCAGGTTTCTTCCCAGCGACAGGACCAGTAGCTTTGCTTGACTGAAGGTGATCCCTTCTGCCACCGTCATAAATAGGAGCCAGTTGCCAAATTTAGAGCATGTCACCATAGGTTGCTACAAGGGTCAGAAGCGTCATAGTTGCAGCCATCATAAATTCATGCCAGCGTCTGAATTTTGATCATGGGGAATGCTGCGTTGGTCACAGGTGTGAAAAACAGTCACAAGTCACCTTTCTCGGGGCCGTCGTCACTAAACGAATAGTTCTCAGTCAAAGGTTTCCTGTAATAACCACAGTGTCAAGTTTCGAGGTCGTCTCAAATAAATTGCATTTCAAACAAAGTCTTTGATAAAAACTCCCATTTATTGAGCACAACATTCTAAATCCGACTCATGATAGCCAACACTGACTTCCAGACCCAAAACCCTCCCTTTCCGTTCCCCACTCCCCTGCACTCATTGGCCCTCTTCCAAGTCATTCTACCCCTAATCTACTGCTCCAGCTCAAAGGAATTTCCCCCCTCCCATCCCATCTCCTAGGGGATATTATCTCCAGGGAAAATAAATAGGTGAAAAGTCAAACGTCCCTTTCCAGACGCCTCCGCTTCTCCTTCTTATGTCAGCACTAGAGTAAATGCAGCTTGAAGTGCTGACATACAGTTCCCTCCCCTTGGAAGTTTTAAGTCCTCCCCTCCAATTTTTCCTCCTTTAAAGAGCTACCAAACCGCTAGAAACAGGCTAGAAATTGGGAAGGCTTTGCCTCCAAATCCCATTGGTTGATTTTCCTGAAACATCCAGGTGATAGAACGTCCAGATTTTGAATCTAGATATACAGTTCCAAGTTTAATTCGTCTTGCTGAAAATCGTGGTCGCGTGACAGTAGGAACGATGCAAACGGATTGGTTTTGTCTGGTTGCTAAGCGGCCAAAATACAATCACGGGATTGCAGGGGGTGGGGGCCATCAGAACTTCAAAACGGGGTCGTAAGTATCTCTGGGGAGGCCCGGCGTATCTTCAAACAGTCACTAAGTGATTGGTTATACGTTGAGGATTACCTGTAACCTGGTAGAACTGCCTGTGATCTGCAATCTACTTTACAGGTGATCAAACTCTGGATTTGTTTGTCTGTCAAATCTCAAAGAGTAACCTGTGCAGAAGATACTGCTTAGTGCTTCCTTTGTTCGAGTGCTGCTTTATCCAGGTCCATGTTCCCCTTCAAATGCTGGACTCCCAATGCCCATAATCCCCAACTGGACATCTCTGGGGTGGCAGAGTTATGTCCTGAAGACTAACAGCAAGCTCTAAACGCCCTCTAGCGGCTGTTTGACATTCTACTAAACCGAAGTTTGCTCGCTTTTAGAGTCAGATGGGGAGATACAGCAATAGCACTTAGACTTATATACAGTTTCATAGTGCTTTATATAAAGTTTATTGTCATTATATGTGTTAAGGATATTGTTGTTGTGTTACCAACCAGCAGAGTGTAGAGCACAGAGAAACGTTGCTGAGAGCAGTGAATAAGAGATGTGCAAACTGGTTTATCAAAAGTTTACTTTATAGTGGAAAAACAATCTCATAGTCTTTAAATCAGTCCAAGTCTTTGCCAGTTAAATCAGTCCAGTGATACAAAATCTTCTTACCACACAAACAGTAGTTGGTTAGAACAACAAACTCACTCTGGTTCACAAACCACGATGGTAGCAGATCCATCCAACGATGATAGCACAATGATAGCAACTCCACACACAATGGTAGCTTATCATCAACTGAATACGTTACAGTACCTTTCTTAAATACGTTCACAACTAATTACAACCTGACTCAGCATTACAATGAATCAGCAGGGAAACTTTAAAGTCACACAATACATATTCATATTAAAGTCACAGAACACATATATTGCCTGGACAACTTGTTAGGCTCAAACCATATCCTAACAATATGTATATACACAGTATACCCATACAACAAAATTCACATAACACCCAGAGACCAAGCCCAACACACATGACAATCCCCAGGCACACCCCCACCCACCACAAATTCCCCACCCCTAAACCACCCAAACATCCACACAACAGACCAAGTAATGCTGTCCAACAGCTCACTGATGGTGGCCCTTTAGTTCATCGTTGAGTGCAATTATAGCTCTGGGATAAAAACTATTCAGAAGTCGTGTGGTCCGAGCTTTCATTGTTCTGTATCTTCTGCCAGAAGGCAACAGTCCAAAAAGATTGTGAGCAGGATGGGAAGAGTCTCGGAGAATGTTGTGCAACTTCCTCAAACAGCGAGATGCGAAGATGTCATCCAGGGCTGATAGCTGGAGCCCGATGATATTCTGGACAGTTTTAATAATTCTCTGTAGAGCTTTTATGTCCGCTGCACAGCTGCTCCCATACCATCTTCTTTACAGTCCTCTCTAAGTGTTTTACAGAATCAGCCTATTGCCCCCAACAATGTGGGTCCTCATTTTACCAACATCAGAAGGATGGAAGGCTGAGTCAACCTTGAGCCGATCAGGAACGAACTCCTGGCGGTCAGCAGAGATAGTCTGCAATACTGCATTCTAACCACAGGGAGGGAGGGAGGGAGGAAAGAAAAGGAAAGGAAAGGAAAGGAAAGGAAAGGAAAGGAAAGAAGGAAGGAAAGAAGGAAGGAAGGAAGGAAAGAAAGAAGCACTTAGACTTATATACTGCTTCACAGTGCTTTCCAGCTCTCTCTAAGCGGTTTACAGAGTCAGCCTCTTGCCCCCAACAATTTGGGTCCTCATATTACCCACCTCAAAAGGTGGGAGGCTGAGTGAACCCTGAGGCTGGTGAGATTTGAACTGCCAAACTGCTGGTAATTGGCAGTCAGCAGAAGATATAGATAGTCCGTCACTTATGGCCACAACGGGGACCAGAATTTATGTTGCTAAACAAGTCAGTTCTGGGAGTTGAAGTCCTGACATCGTAAGAGTTGCTAATGTTGAAAAATACTGGCCTTTACATTTAAGAAAATGTTTAAAAACATGTGCAGGTGGTCCTCGATTTACGACCACAATTCACCCCAAAATTTCTGTTGCTAAGCAAGACATTTGTGAAGTCCCCCACTTTACGACCTTCCTTGCCGCATTTATTAAGTGAATCCCTGCCATTGTTAAGTGAGTCACACGGTGGTTAAGTGAACCTGGCTTTTCCCCCATTGACTTTGCTGCTCAGAAGGTCGTAAAAAGGGGATCGCACGACTCCGGGACACTGCGCCTGTCATAAATACGAGTCAGTTGCCAAGCGTCTGAATTTTGATCACATAACCACGGGGATGCTGCAACGGTCGTTAAGTGTGGAAAACTATCGTAAGCCACTTTTTCCACTGCCATTGCAATTTCAAACGGTCACTAAATGAATGATTGTAAGTCGAGAACTACCTGTACTTTTAGCCATGGGTACAATTTTTTTCCACTAATCTGATTTTTTTTTGTCTCCCTCTCTCTCTCTTTCTCTCTCTCCTTCTTTCTTTTTCCTTCCTTTCTTCCCCCAGTGATCCTTTTCTGTATGGCAGCCTTAATATTTCCCATAGGATTTTACATCAACGAAGTAGGAGGCCAACCGTATAAACTTCCGAACAACACCGTGGTGGGCTCGTCTTACGTACTGTTCGTTTTATCTATTTTCTTTACGATAGTGGGACTTCTGTTTGCTGGCAAAGTGTGCTTACCCGGCTGACGACCGCTTCCGTACTTTATTTTTTTGGGGGGGGGGAGCGGGTGTACGGTCACGAAGGAGAATAGGACGTCGTCTGGCGCTTCCGCGGGAAGATGCTAAGGTCAGGCCGCCGTCGCAGTCTTACCGGAAACGAGGAGGTTTCTTCTGTTCTCACTATGCACTTTGGATTTTTTTTAAAGAAGAAGAACTTTTATTATTATTATTATAATAATTATTCCTTTTTACGGAGAGTCTTTCCCCCCATCACCGAAACCAAAACAACCGCAACTCATCTCGTCAGCATCTGGACGTCGTCAGGTGTGCACTGTGATCGGACCTCGTGTGGAAGAAAAGCTCTTTTTTTTTTTCCTGCACTCTACAGCGTTATTTCCTTTTTTTATTTTTCTTTCCCCTCCCCCCCCTTCCTGTCCCTCCGACTCCTTCCGCATCACCGTACTGTACCCCCCCTTCGAAATGATCTGACAATATTGAAAGTCTCAAAAAAAAAGTATTTATGCACTTTGATTGGACGGGCGTTTGCCAAGGGTGGGGCTGGGCCTCACCCAACTGTTAAGAGATTTAGCATCTTCCTTCTATGATAGGCGAGAAGCATTTGCCATCAATCCTTCCCTCTCTCTCCCCTCCTCTCCCCCCCCCCCTGTTAAAACACCCCCCCCCCCCCCCCACACAAGTAATCAGTCTCACGTTAGCTGTATCCTGAAGCCGGTAGATCAAAAGACATTTTTGGGGAATCTGTTACGAAGATCCGTCTGCTCGCCACCCTCGCTCACGGTTACGACCCTTCCCGGTGACTCCAGGTGGGGCTGAGAAACTCTTCCATATGTATTTATATGTGTGTGCGCGTGTGTGTAGGTGTGCCATGCGTGCGCGTGTGTGTGTAATTTATATGTATGATGCAGTACACCGAATGTCTATGTATGTGTATTCACACACAAGCACGCACATATGCGTACATGCTGACCGACACTAATGAAAACAATGTGTGTAACACTAGGGCTTGCAAAGGAGAAAGAAAGGGAAGGAAGGAAAGAAAGAAAGAAAAAGAAAGAAAGAAAGAAAGAAAGAAAGAAAGCCATTTCTTTGAAATCCGCATCGTTGAGAAAGTCTTCAGTATACCTCATTCGCTGTAGCAGCCTTGCTTTTGATAGGTTTTTATGATAAGTACCAACAACTCCATGCCTTCCTAGGTGCAATTTTAAGTTAAGCTAAGAGGGTTGGTCCTCCTCCTCTTCCTTCTCCTTCTGCTTTTCCTCCTCCTCCTCCTCCTCCTCCTCCTCCTCGATTTGAGTCTTGATGGTCGAAGATGAAATCATGTCTCCTTTTTGAAAGCTCTGACCCCAGCGATGGAAAATTCGACCCAACAATTTAACTGCATCATTTAAGCGGTGTGAATCGCGGGAGCCTCTCCTCTTTTAAGAGGTCTTTTTTTCTTTGCAATCATGGTGGGGTTTTTTGGCCCAGATAATCTGCCACGAGCGTCTCCGATAGAGATAGACCCCAAACAGCGCCCAAAAGCTACAGCAAAGCAAACCCAAGCCTTTTTCTCCTCCTCTCCCCCCCCCCACTTTGAAAGTATTAACTCTTCTGTTGTTATTCCACAAAAGAACAAAGGTGATTATTAGATAACGCAGGTGGTTTTTTAAAATGGCCTGGTCTGTTTTCAGGGGTCTTTGCAGGTAATGTCTTTCTCGACAGATTAGTGATAGTATCGCTAACATTCAGATACGGGCCCCGCCTCCTCGGTTTATGTCCGATACTCTTGCCGTTTGGCCCACGAAAACCAAAACTGGGCACACAGCAGCATCAGTGTGGCAACACACGTCACCCAAAGCAGGCTAAGCGACAGTACAGATCTGTCATGCCGGACTCAACGGTCCTGTGTTAGAAACCCTGCGTCCGATAATCTTGCGAATCGGTGCGAACCAGGAACAACCCACCATTGGGCGGCACCTAGTGCTGAAAAGGAAGTCAGGCCATGACCAAGAGGAGCTGCCCAAGGGGCATGCACGCACCGGATAAGGTACTTCCGGTTTCCGGTGCACGCATGTGCGTCGGCCAGCAAGACTTCCGGTTACTGCCGCACATGCACACACGCCAATCAGTTGGCAAAGGCCAGCTGATTGTCACGTGTGCATGCGCGCCAGAAACCCGGAAGAGGAACGGGCGATGCCGCGTGTGCCAGGTGACATGGCTCCATGTGCCACTTCAGGCACGCGTGTCATAGGTTCGCCATCCCGGGGTAGAGCATCTGGCAGCCAAAGGAGGCGTGTGCATCCTGGCACTGGCACCCTGGCTGCTACTGGCACTGAGGATCCTATCTTGTGGATAATAGCACACAGGAGGCGCTAAAAGGAATCGCTTCCAAGGCCTGGTTTGCAAGCGCTTCTGGTTAACCGAGTTTGTGGGTGACCGCGATTCCATTTCTAAACCGGAATAGGTGACTTGTGTTTCCTTTTGTTGTCGGAGCGTACTGTCTGTCCTTTCAGTTGGCAGAAGGATTCCCCCTCCTCCTCTCCAAAACGGGCGAGTTTTAATCCTTCTTTTTTTTTTATGGCTTTGTGAAATCGTTTGGTTTAAGGTCGAGCATCTTAAGGTTTGCCAGGCGTTAGCAGTGAGTCCTGAAGATATTTATCTCTGCAGACAGAACACCAAGTTCTGTAGCTGCCGACTGTTTTTTTTTAACAAAAATATAAAATAAAATAAAAATGAACTCTTAGTTAAAATCACAGCTGCAAACAGAAGCAGGTTACCCTTTTGCAGGTCAAGAGCTAGGGCTAACAAATATTTAGGGGAGGGTAAGGGCCACGGCGGTCGAGAGACAGCACAAAAAAAAAGAAAAAAACAGGTTGCACAGGTGGACAGGGCTGGGATTTTTCTCTCTCGCCCCCTTTCGTAAGGTTCGTGTGTATATGTGAGTCTTTGCTTGGTCCTGTTGGATGGAAAGTGAGGTCTTCGTGCTGCTTTTAAGAGTTCGTGCCGTCGTTTTCATGTCTTTTTTTTTTCCCCGCCCTGGAAAACGCACCGCCAATTGTCCGCAGTTCCACCCCTTCCCTTTGGAGCAGGCTTCAAAGGCTGCTAAAGATGGAGCCTGGCAGAACCGGTTGCAAGACGTTCTCCACAATGTCTCACGCCAGTTGTAGGTTGGCCCCGGGCACGGTTGGGCAGTGGCACCTTTCCTCTTGAGCTCTTGATACTAAAAACATCTGCCTACCGAGCTGCGTTTTAAAAAAAAGACACAAGCTAATGTGCTTCGGAGCCCTGGCATGATGTTACTGGGGTTCATTACACAGATGTTCTACAGCAGGGGTCCCCAAACTTGGCGACTTTAAGACTTGTGGACTTCAACTCCCAGAATTCCCCATGGCTGGCTGGGGAATTCTGGGAGTTAAAGTCCACAAGTCTTAAAGTCGCCAAGTTTGGCGATCCCTTTTCTAGAGCCTCGAGGCTGCACATCATCTGTTGCAGGTTGCCCCTTCACAGTTTAGGAAGACTAGCAAGCTTGGCCCTCATCCTTTTCCTCTCCCTTCAACGCACAAATTGCTCTCTTTGCCACTCTTCGCATCCGGTGCTGAATTTTCACCTCCACGCACCTCTTAACAGAGGTAGATTCTGGTTCTCTCTCTTTTTTTTTATAGTCTCTTCCTCCTCTCTGGCATGATAGGATTACCGGTACCTAGACGAGGGGTCTCCAGAGTTGGCCACTTTAAGACTTGTGGATTCAACTCCCAGAATTCCCATGCTGGCTGGGGAATTCTGGGACTTGGAAGTTCACAAAGCGGCCCAAGTTAAATTTGCAAGCATGGCTAGCTGAGGAATTCTGGGACTTGAAGTCCACAAGTGTGAAGGTGGCCAACTTTGGAGACCCCTGACATAGATAATTTGAGAAGAAGAGAAGGTCTCTCAGTCTATTCCCTTAGGCATCATCCCACTCTCTTGCCCCACTTCCGTAAGATGAAAAACGTGGGGCAAAAACCCAACTCCTGAAATCATTTTTAATCAGGATGGGCCTCAAGAAAGCAAGCAGCCCCATTTTTTTTTTCAACCCTGCTTTTAGTTTCCTTTTGGAAAATGCCTAAGAAAAGGGGAGAACCAGCTCACGCACATATCCTACAAGCAGGCCTTGTAGAAAATGTTAGCCAGGGAAGCGTCTTAGCCGTCTTTGACAAACAGCTGTTGAGCTAACATTAGGACCGCTATCCGCAAAAGAAACCAGCAAAAATATTTGCGGATTTGCATCCTCTGCTGAGTAGGCGGCCAGAGTGGATGGACTCCCCACCCACCCCAAATTCACGTGAAGTTTCTTCCGTGGCCCTAAGAAAGCCCATCTTGTCGAGTTTGACAAATACACATTGCCACAGGAACCGAGAACTGTGACGTTTTCGCCACAGCGAAATGACTTCTTTTACGCCCTTTTACATATATATATATATATATATGTTTTCTGAGGTTTTCACGGGTGTTTGTATGTAGGTCTTTGGTTATTCGGGTTTCTCCCGCGTAAAATTGGAGGTTTCTTGGCCAAGAAACCTCCAATTTTACGCGGGAGAAAACCCGAATAACCAAAGACCTACATACATACGTACGTACATACATACATACATACATACATACATATATATATATATAACCAAATTTATATTTGCTGATAAAGAAATAAAGGGAGACTAGTATAGATCTATTTCAAGCTTTTTAGCTCTCATCAGCTAGCCATAGTTCGAATCCGAGTAAGGGTATGGCTAGCTGATGAGAGCTAAATAGCTTGAAATAGATCTATACTAGTCTCCCTTTATTTCTTCATCAGAAAATATAAATTTGGTATAAAATGGTTTGCCATGAACGGGACTGCTTGAAGGCTCCTGGATTGGAGCTGAAAGGCGAAAGATATGCAAGTTTTGGTGTATTTGGGTCTTTTCCCATGTAAGATTGAGAGTATCTTGGCGACGTTTCGACGAGGTCCCACTCGTCATCTTCAGGCTGAAGATGACGAGTGGGACCTTGTCGAAACGTCGCCAAGATACTCAGGAAATCACTCCACGATCACCGTGCCCGTAACCGTAAGGAATCCATGCACTCTTGTTCCTATCCTGGATCCCATCTTGTTATGTGAATGGACGTCTCACCCAGAGCTGCATCAGTCAGTAGGCCTACATTTATTTGACTTTAATGTTGACACCAAACCATTTCTCGGAAGGGGAGGGAAAAAATAAATCCCCACGATTATTTTTTCTAAAAAAAAAGGGGGGGGAGGAATTTAAGTGTGGGGGGGAATCAACTCTTGCTTTAAATAGAATCGCAAAAGTGTGCAGTATTAATTTATAGCAGAAAGGCCATATCTTGTAAACTGTATATAAAACAGTTTTGTTTTTTTTTTAAAGAAAATTGGTGCAAATGTCTGTCAGTTTTCTGTCTGTTGCATTGGGGGTTTCCGGGAGGGGTGGGGTGGGGACATCTGATCCCTCTTGTGTGTGTGTGTATGTCTGTGTGTGCGTGCGTGTGTATGTGTGCGTACGTGTGCATTTCTTTTCACTGCTCGCAGCCTTCCCCAATCCAGTTTGTGCAGAGCACCAGGTTCGAGAAGGCCGCCTGTAAAAGCTTCGGAGTCAAGTGTGTGCTATGAATTATGCCTCGTTCCTCTTAAATCCTGGGGTACGTTTGTTTT